CCGCAGGTCCAGGTCCAGACATAGGAGGGACCACACTCAACAAACGTGGCCTCCGCACCCACAGTGGCCTTTCTGGACCCCCTGGGCCTACCATCAGTGGCAAGATCAGCTGCCTCCTTCTCTGGGGTCGGGGACGTCAGGGCACCATTCCCGACTGTGGGCATGCCTGTCCCGAGCCCCTCCCTCCCCCCTCCGGGCACCTCAACCCGATCCAGCGGCACCGCAACCGCCGGCACCGGAGGTGGACCCATTGGGAGCGCAAACTGCTTAGATGGCTCCGCAGCTGGCGACAACTGTTCCTGTGCCACTTCAGAAGTCGTCGTCATCGTCCCCGGACGAGGCACTAGCAGACCCTGCACCGAGTCTGCCGTCAATGGATGCCTGCACGCACCAAGACCTCCTCCGCCGCATGGCTGCCAACTTGGCGGTTCTGGTGGAAACTGTCATCGAGGACACGGATCCAATGGTGGACATCCTCACGGAAGATGCGCCTACGCGATTGGCCTTACCGCTTAACAAAACGGTGTCAAAGATTACTAATGCCCTGTGGCAAACGCCGGCAACCTTGACCCCTACCTTAAAAGGGGTCGAGAGGCGTTATTACGTCCCGCACTCGGGGCATGATTACCCATCCCCGGTTCCTTGTTCGTGCAGGCCGCGGCCCAAAAGGAAAGACTCCCTCAGCCTGGTCCTTCTCCAAAGGCGAGGGAGCCTAAGCGGCTGGACCTGTTGGGCCGTAAGGTGTACGCCACAGGGGCGCTACAACTCCGCATCGCGAACCATCAGGCGATGCTAAGTAGGTATGCCTTTAACACCTACCAGGCCGCCAAAAAGTTCCGAGACAGACTCCCTGTGTAGGATCGTCAGGAGTTCGCGGCCATTGCCTTGGAGGGTAAAGTCATTGCACAAACCGCTCTCCAGGAGTCATTGAACACAGTTGGTTCGGCAGCGGGGGGGGGGGGGCATGGCTCCCCGGCAATTCCTCCAGACATGCAGTATACTATTCAGGACTTGCCTTTCGAGGGCAAAGCTCTGCTCTCGGAGCACACTGACTCTAGGATCCATACTCTGAAGGACACTAGGTCCACCCTGAAGTCCTTGGGCATCCACACGCCAGCTCCGCAGCGGCGACAGCTGCCCTATAGGCAGCAGGGAAGGGCGCAGCCCCAGGTCTCCTGTGGGGATTACTGGAGGCACCGTCCCCGGGCCTCCGGTGGAGGTTCCGGGGCAGCCGCGCCCCCTGGGGGGGGTAGGGGTCGACGTCATCGCCCCAGGACTGATACCCAGTGGGGAGGTCCTCACGGTCCTTCCCATCAGGGGAAGCCCCAATTTTGATACCCTGTTCGAGAGTCCCGTACCAATCTCCCACCCTGTCCCCTCGTTTGGGGCCAGGCTATCCCTTTTTGCCCATGCATGGGCCCTAATAACATCGGATGCCTGGGTTCTGAACATAGTAAATGGAGGCTATTCTATCCCTTTCCTAGGCCCACCGCCCTCAATACCCCCCTAACCGGCCTTAGTAAGGGACACCCCTCACGAAGACATCCTGTGTCAGGAGGTGTCTGTGCTCCTTGAAAAAGGAGCAATAGAGGAGATTCCTCTGCATCTGCAAGGAAGGGGTTTTTACTCCCGTTATTTTGTTGTCCCCAAGCCGAAGGGTCATAAAACACAGGTTCAGAATGGTGACCTTGGCATCGGTCATCCCAGTGCTACAATTAAGAGACTGGTATGTGACTCTCGACCTCAAGGACACATACTTCCACGTGGCGATCAAACCCAGCCACGGGAGGTTCCTCAGGTTTATGGTGGGCCAATACCATTTTCAGTTTATGGTGCTCCCTTTTGTTTTATGTACGGCACCGAGGGTATTCACGAAATGCATGGCGGTGGTTGCCGCATATCTCTGCAAACAAGGGGTGCACGTGTTCTCGTACCTCGACAATTGGCTGATCCGAGTCGCTCGTACGGACAGGTAGAAGCTCACATGGCACTCACAAGAGCCCTTTTCCTAAGGTTAGGACTCATGATAAATGTCGAGAAGTCATCCCGGACTCCCTCCCAACAGATAGAAAAGGAGTTTCGTGAAGGAGAGTCTGGCACTTGACACCACTTCATCTTTCCCTCAAAGGCTCTGGCCAGCCCTTGTGTGGATTAGTCTCCGGCGTGAAATACCCTTTCTGTAGGTGTTCAAGCTGCAATTGGGGACGGAGTGGGCATTGCAGTGCTTTGCTGGGCAAGCAAGTAACTGCTACGGGGTTTTAAATTAATGTTTCTGATTCCTGTACATTTTACTGTAGCATAGTGACCAGCCTCACAAAGGGCAGGCTAGTGGGTGCATTCACAGCCTGGCTGGACCCAGGAAACTGTGGTACGCAGTAGGGTTCCCGGAGAGGAGTACACCCATCCTCGGCTCCTATTCCAACTATTCTTGACTACCTTTTCCAGCTTCGGTCTAGTGGCCTATCTTTTTATTCTATCAAAGTCCATGTGGCATCTCTCTCCGCCTTCCACGTTGGTATGGCAGGAGTCTCCCTTTTTTCTAACCCGGTGGTTAAAAGGTTTCTTACTGGCTTGGAAAAGCTGTACCCCTCAGTGAGGGCCCTGCTTCCCGCCTGGGACCTTAACGTGGTCCTCCACAGGCTTATGCTACCTCCCTTTGAACCGCTGGCCATGTGTTCCCTGCTGCACCTTTCATTGAAGGTTGCTTTCACCATGGCCCTTACATCGGCTCGAAGGGTGTCAGAACTAAGGGCGCTAACTATAGACCCGCCCTACCTTGTTTTTTCTCATAACAGTGTAAGGCTACAGCCTCATCCAGCCTTCCTCCCGAAGGTGGTATCACCATTCCACCTGTCCCAGGAGATTTCTCTCCCGTTTTTTTCCCCCAAACCTCACACCTCCTCTAAGGAGCGGGTGCTGCACTCCCTGGACGCCAAGCGGGCGCTGGCATTCTACATTGATAGGACCAAGCCGTTCTGTAAATCACAACAATTGTTTATTGCGTTTGGGGACAGAGTGAAAGGGTCTCCTATTTCGACACAAAGGCTATCAAGATGGGTGGTGCAATGCATCATAGAATGTTATCGACTGGCTGGTAAAACCCCACCCAGGGTGAAGGCACACTCTACCAGGGCGCAGGCGTCCTCGGTGGCCTTTGGTGCCCAGGTACCAATCACAGAAATTTGCAGGGCAGCCACTTGGTCTTCCCTTCACACGTTTGCAACACACTATGCGCTACCTCAGCAGGCCAGGGAGGATGCAAGGGTGGGCTCTGCAGTCCTCGAATCTGTGATGTAAATATGTAAATATATATATCCGGTTGTTCTTAATTTGTTCTTAATATGTGCCTTATCAACAACAGCACCCCCCAGAGGGAACAGCCAGTATTTCAGGCAACAGCGTCCCCCAGAGGGAACAGTCAGCATTTCAGACAACAGCACCCCCCCAGAGGGAAAAGAACGGTCACTTATCTGTAACTGCTGTTCTTCGAGATGTGTTGCTCATGTCCATTCGAAGTAGGTGTGCGTACCGCGTGCACCACGTCTTCCGGAGCGTTTTCCCTAGCGGTACCCATAGCGCCGGCGGGGCGCCCCCTGGAGTGGCGCCGCCATGGCGGGGCATAAGTCCCCCTGCCGGCGCTGCCCCACCTCAGTTCCTTCTTGCCGGACACTCCGACGAAGGGGAGGTAGGGTGGGAGTTGAATGGACATGAGCAACACATCTCGAAGAACAACAGTTACAGGTAAGTAACCATTCTTTTCTTTCCTTCTCTCCTATTTTGAAAATGGAGTGAAACTTGTAAGAAACAAAAATAAGAAAAACTTGCCTGGGTTTGGGATTTGTTATGAATCTGAAATGTATTCATTTGAATATAGGTCAAGTGTTCTGCTAAACTTATACTCAGCTCTGGATTTTCCCACTCCATTTACATGCTATTCCTGCACTTTCCAGGTTACTCTTGAATTGTGAAAAGACTCCGCATTATCTGCAGCATTCTTTACATATCAACCTGAGATTCATTATTGATCTTCTAATAAGTAATTTTCCACACAACTTGAATAAATGTCACGTTGACATGCATAAAAACAGACCTTTATACTAATCCTCATGATGGAATACTGTCTACTTAGAATCTTGTCTAAAAAAACAAACCAACCAACCAACTAACCAACCAACCAACAAACAAAAACCTTACGCACCAAAAAGGAATATTCAACCATGACTTTCAGATACTTTATTGTTATTTAACAGTGCTCCCTGTTTCACAGAAAACACAGAACAGGTTCCTTGTCCAAAATAACTGACAATCGAAGGGCCTGATCTCACAAACACTATAAATGTAAGAATCTAAGGTGGGATATGATAGGTCTATAAAATCATAATTGGTGTGGAAAAAGTGAATAAGGAAAAGTTATTTATTTATTCACACAATATAAAAACTAGGGGTCACTAAATGAAGTTAATAGGCAGCAGGTTTAAAACAAACGGAAGGAAGTTTTTCTTCACTCAGCACACAGTCAGCCTCTGGAACTCCTTGCCAGAGGATGTGGTGAAGCTAGGACTTTAACAGGGTTCAAAAAATAGCTTGATCAATTCATGGAGGTTAGGTTCATCAATGGCTATTAGCCAGGATGGGTAGAAATGGTGTTCCTCGCCTCTGTTTCTCTGGAGGTGGGTGACAGGGGAGGGATCCCATGAGGATTACTTGTTGTGTCCCCTCCCCCTGGGGCATCTAGTATTGTTCACTGTTGGCAGGCAAGATACTGGGCTGGATGGACCATGGGTCTACCCAGTATGGTTGTTCTTATGTTCTTAATATAATCAAAATAGTTGTCGCTTCACTGTAAGCATTTATGGGAGTAACATTACTCATGTGTGTAACTTTTTGCTGAAAAAGTATTGCTTAGTTTTTCAAAACAATTTAATGTTGCAAAAAGTGGTTTAAGGCCTTATTCATGCGAATACCTATAGTAACTGCATTTTTTAAAATTTTTTCCTAAGGTGGTTGTAAATGCCCTAATAGGTGCCATTCCTTCCATTATGAACGTTCTGCTCGTCTGCCTCATTTTTTGGCTCATTTTTAGTATCATGGGAGTGAGCCTGTTTGCAGGGAAATTTGGAAAATGCGTTACCAAAGAAAACCCTGGATTCACTAAAACTATTAAGGATAAAAAGGACTGCGAAAACAAAAATGACACACAACAATTATACTGGATAAATCCTAACGTCAACTTTGATAATGTTGGCTCTGGTTATCTGGCTCTTCTTCAGGTGGTAAGCTCTATTTTGCCTTTCTGGCATGCAGTGAGGTGGAGTGAAGTCAAAGTTTTTCCTGTTGTTTATCCACATCTGCAAGGAGCGGGAAGCTGTATCTTTGCAGAGTCTGCTGTCCCATTCCCATACCATGTTCAGAGTAGACATGTTAAGTAGCAGTTAATTGGCTAATCGAGTAGTCGATGCAATTTCCATCAACTACTTGATTAGTCAATAAGGAAGGGCAGTTTCAGTGGCTCGTGCCAGGTCTCAGCACAATCTGCTGCTGCTGCTCTGCATTATTAAAGGGACAGGGGAGCTGGTCCCGCAGGTCTACCCACCACCAGCTCCCCTGTCCCTTTAATAGTGCAGAGCAGCAGAGGGGATAGAGAGATTGATCAAGTAGTTGATAGGGCTATCCGATAAGCTGCTGCTTGTTGAGTAGTCAACTACTCGGCTACTCGTTCACATCCTTAGTTCAGAGTGGCAACATAGTTCACCCATGCACAGTCACTTATTCCAATGTACACATATATAATGTCTAATGGTACTCTACAAATAGATTAGGTGACCATTTGAAAATCTGCTCCTCTGATTTGCAGCTTTATCCTGTGAAGACGGTACATGTGTTATAATTTCATTAAACTAAAGGCAAAATTCTCTCCTGCACTGAGTAAAGCTCAATGCAGAAATAGGAAGTTGGGGAACGAGCACCAGTAGGCTGGTTCCAATTCCCTGATTCTGGCAATCGACTCCCACTGCAGATAGTAAATGAACCACAAACAACATAAAGTCCTTGCCTTGCATGAAGAATACTGGTGTAGTGGACTGTTGTTGCAACACGCATCCTTCTGGCCCCTGGCATGTTTCCTACAGTGGTAGAGGTGACAGGGGCCCAGCTCTATCACAAACATGTCAGCAGGGAGAGCCCCTACACAGCAAGGGAGTTCTGTGCTGAGCACTTGTGGGCAGTCAGCCATTCCTTTGCACCATCCAAGAAGCACAAGCATATTGTAAACAAATTTAAAAAAATCTCTCCCTAAAAGCTAAATATGATTTTAATATTTTTTTTGTTATTCTAGGCAACATTTAAAGGTTGGACAGACATTATGTATGCAGCCGTAGATTCAAAAGGGGTAGGTCATGAATATTAAAATGTTAGCCCTTATAACAATCTCTCCAATTTTTACTTGTGTTTTGTAATTTACAGATTTATTAGTGTTAATCAATACAATGTATAGGTCAAATCTGTTCATTGTTTTGTAGGTGCTATCTACTCACTGAATTAAAATGGATGACCATCCATTCAAAATAAGTGGTGTATTATTATTGTTGTTGTTATTATTATTATTATTCCACCCAACATCCAACCAGGATCAAGGCTCCAGTGCATTAGGTGCTGAACAAATGCAGAGTAAGATACAGTCCCTCATCCCTAGGACTTACATTGAACAAGATAACCAGCATGCAGAGGTGAAAGTAAGCCAGGACAGCCCAGTATACCATATTGGCAAGAAAGAGGCTGGCAAGATCCAGTATGCCATGCTAGCTATTGAGAGCTGGTACAACATATTGGGAAGACACTGTAGTGCCCCCAGCCCCTCCACAGAGCTGCCTGTCTTCCATTTCCATGTGTACAGCAACATCTCCTCAGGAGAACAGGGGTGGGGTGAGGAGACTGGGAGCACTATAGCATCTGCTGGAGGTGTTCTGTTCCTTTCTTCCCTGCCTCTCCCAGCAGGGTAAGGAGTAGATCCCCCCAGCATCCCTCAGCCACGTCCTTCAGCAGGGCTGCTGCTGTTCAGATGGAGTAGAGGAAACAGCTCTGTGGAAAGATAGAGAGTAGGCCTGGGGCTTCTGTTCCTTTCCATGGTGGCAGAGGAAGAGTGGGAAAAGCAGCAGAACTGCTGACAGCTCTTCTGACTGCCATACCACTCTTAGCCCCCTGTCTAGAATGGGGAGATGAGGGACAGGGGAAGAGCATGGGGACCCTGGGCTAAGGAAAGGGATGAGTTACATGGGGAAGTCAGGTCACCCCTCTTCGCTAGTATTTCTCCCTCCCCCACCCCCCCCCATACAAAGAAAAAAATTACTTTAACTCCTGCCAGCATGTCTTCTGAGGAAAGGAATGAGCTCAGACATAACCACGTTAGAAAATTATTTTCTCAGGCTTATTCAAAACTTAGTTGCTTTTGTCCAAAAGTAATGGAATATCACTTTAATCAAGGGGTTAAAATGGAAGAAACATTTAGACCAAGCTTCTCAAAAGAAAAAGCTTAAAGTTACGCTCCTAAATAAGTGATATAATTTTCTAATGTTGAACAATCAACAGTTCCCACTGACCTTGATCAAAGCTCTTGGCTACTTTATGTCTTTGAAAATCATTCCACTAAGGTTTGATTCAAATCTCATGGAAGTCATTAAAGACTCTGGTCAACTTCAGTGGACTTCAATGAACTGGGCATATATTTAGTCATGATGGATAATATTTTAAACAGATGATTAAAAAAGAGAAATATTTTCTTATGTGTTCCTGCATGAAGACAGAATTGTAACTCCTTTTGCTCTCCTTAAAATAATTCTTCCTTCAGTCATTTTTTTTCTTTGTCAGCAGTGTTTGTGGAATGTCCTACAACTTCCTTAGCATAAGTATAAGCAACATCAATATAATTTACAGTAGGGGTGGGCAATCATTTTGGATGGGGGGGCACTATATAAATTTTGGAAGTGGCCACTGGCTGATCTAGAAGTGGCGGGGCCTTGTGCGGAAGGGAAGAGGCCTCAGGCGGAGGGGACGGGGTTGAGAACTACCCTGCTGGCTAGGGTGACCTTGTTTTCTGAACCAGCTGCAGCTAGTAAGAACAGTTTAATTTAAATTATGAAACAGATTAAGCATTTTAACTTTCTCTTGTTAGTTTATCAAACTTCATTTTAAATAAAGTAAAATATTAGTTCAGCACAAAAGGTTTCAGTGTTTTCTTTATTTATGGCAGGGTTCAGGGGCTTCCCATAGACCAGATTTACTTTTCTGGGATTCTGGATTTAGTGGATTTTATGGACTTCCTTAGGCTCCGGGGTAGGGACAAAAATGAGAGGTACAGTGTGTGAGACAGGGCTGCTAGCAAGGATAGCAATAGGGTGCAGGATCTGGGAGGGAACTGGTGTGCAGAAGCAGGTTGGGAATAGGGTGTCCGGCCAGGTGGAGGGAGCAGGAACAAGGGGGGGTGCAGTGAGTGGCCAGGAGAGAGAGTGCAAGAACAAGGGAGGATGTTGGAGCAAGTTGGGGGTCCCAGATCTAGGAGGAAGGGAAGTGAGGGAATTGAGGTGGGAGGGTGTCTGGGTATGATGGGGAACCTTACCTGGTTTCGTGCCACCTTACAGCAACAGCTGCAGCCATGCTGTCCCAGCTGCCCTGGTGGGAG